CCGGGTGGGCGCAGGGCCGCGCGGGGCTCGGCACAGGGCTGCCGGCCGGGGCGCTGCCCCACGAGTTCGGGGATGAGGCAGGGGAGCAGCCGCAGTCCCTGTTGGAGGGCGGCAGCGGCCGAGCGGGGCCCCATTCCGCGGACAGGATCCAGGACTCGGAGAGCGGCGGGCACAGGGGCTGGGCCATGGCAGCGGCGGTGCGTCTGGTGGCCGGCGGCCTGCGTCCGCTTTATCCCCAGGCCAAGGTGTGAAGTGGCCCCTTCCAGGCTGCATCAGCACATCAAAGCCGGCTCGGGGCCTGGAGGGGGCGGGGCCTGACCCTTTGAACCAACGGGGGGCGAAGGTGCCGGCCCCTTGACTGCGCCAGGTTCACCCCACCTGGGCGGATCCTCGCTTGGGCGCCCGACCCAGCTACTCCGGCCTTCTACCTGCGCCCGGTGGCCCACGGTGCCCGAGGCATTGGGCCAGCCATGCAGGTTAAAAGAAGCAGGGTCAGAGAACTGGAAGTCCAGTTCTTGGGTGTCGGCCCACCTTCACCTGTTGAGGACCTTACACAAACTCTTAATTTTCTTGCACCTTAGTTTCCAATTTGTGTAATGGAAGCCTGGGGCATGCAACAGACTGGACTGTGGAATAGGGTAGGGACCAGGAGTGGGGCCCTGATTCCCTCTAGAGGTTGGGAGAACAGTAATCTGTGCCTCCTCTGAGACCCTGAGAAGGGTCCTGGGTAGGCCCTTCCCTGATGGTGCTTGGGGAGGAGGGGACACTATGAGGAAGCTATCCCAGGCAAATCCAAGCTGACAGAATCTGGTCAGGTTGCTGGACCATCTAAGCAGAAGGGGTGAGGGCCGGCCCGTGGCTCACTCGGGAGAGTGCGGTGCTGATAACACCAAAGCCCCGGGTTCGGATCCCTGAAAAAAAAAAAAAAAGAAGGGGTGAGCCTGCTGCCTGACACCCCTCCCCGGGACACCCCTAGCTTGGCAGGACCAGGGGCTTGGCTTATTGCCATAGCTGCCACCACTGGCCTCACAGATATTCTGCCACTTTGGGGCAGATATAACAGGTTTTGCCAATGAAATGTGAGTGGAAATGACGCAGAAAAAGTATTTCGCACAATTCAACACCTCTTCATGATAAAAATTCTCAGCAAACTAGGAATAGAGAGGAACTTCCTCAACCTGGTAAAAGGTGTCTACAAAGACCTTACAGGTAGCATCATACTACCTGTAATACCTCACCTATTCAGTATGGAACTGGACGGAGGTCTATGTTGTGCAATAATGAAAGGGAAATAAAACACATACAGATTGGAAAGGAAAAAATAAAACTGTCTCTATTTACATACAACATGATTGTCCACATAGAAAATCTCAAAGAATCTACACTGCCTGCCTGGCCCCTACCTTGTACCGTTATCATAATAGGCACTTCATGCATGGGTATCTACTCTCCAGCTAGACTGTGAAGTACCTGTGTCTGGCAGCATGTCTTTCCCTGTTTCTTGAAGAGGAATATTATCTAGGGTCTCTTTCAGTGCTAGGGGGCTGATATTTTACATCCTCTATGGCTTCCAGCCCTGTGCGACTGATGGATTAGCTGGTTTGTTGCAATGAAGGCCAGTGCCTTGGTACCTTTTCCTTGGGCATCTCTGCCCACCACCACCATCCCCGCCCTCCCTACTCTATTTTATTTGCTACTGCCCTTGGCCTCCTCTAACACTTTCTATAACCCCTTCTCTGCAGTCCCAGAACACCTATGTCCACAGTCACATCCAGGAGAAGCAGTGCCACCCCTGGGGTGGGGAGAGGGGAGGAGCCCATTCCCTGTGGACATAACTTAGGAATCTTCAACTCCAAGGAGAGCCTGGCCAGGAGGCCCCTCCTCAACCTACAGTTGTCAGCAGGGCCCACCCCTTCTGGACTATGGATACCTTCCTGGGGTTCCAGATCCAAGCTAAGAACATGGCATGTGAGCCCAGTTATTTTGAGTCTTCAATGCCACCAGGCCTAGAGGAACAAGTGATTAGGAACTGGTAGAGTGTGTTGTGCTTTGGGGTAGGAGTGGGTATAGAGAAAAGGCAGACAGGCAGGAGGGTTGGATCTTGGAAGGCTCTGGGTATCCTCCTGTCCAGGGACTGCCAAACTTCTGAATGTTAAAAAAATCCTCCAATTCTAGGGTCGGCCCATGGCTCACTCGGGAGAGTGCGGTGCTGATAACACCAAGGCCACGGGTTCGGATCCTATATAGGGATGGCCGGTTCGCTCACTGGGTGAGCGTGGTTCTGACAACACCAAGTCAAGGGTTAAGATCCCTTTACTGGTCATCTTTAAAAAAAAAAAAAAAAATCCTCCAATTCTCACATGATTGTGATTTCATTTTGTAGCTAATAATTGAGAAAACTCAGGGTGACCAAAAACTCTTGTTTTACTGTCTTATCTTCGTTTATTTGAAAATATATGCATGTAGTTAAAAAAGTCAAAAAGGCCACCAAGTACAGAGTATAACAAATCTCTTTACTATCCTGCCTCTGAGGCTTCCAACTGCCTGCTCCAGAGGAAACCACCAATACTGATTTCTTGACAACAAAGCTTTGAAATAAATTTGTATCTTACTAAGGACAGGATCCACTAGACATATTTGGACAAGAGGCCATATGAATGAGAGGCACAGTTTTTATGTTGAAAACACAGCCCCTAAAAATTCTCAGATCTGAAACCTAACAGTTAACATTAATTGAGCACGTGGGAGCCACAAGGAGATTTGGAGCAGAAGAGGGACACCATAGGTGGTATCTGATAGGAGGATCTCCAGTGTCAGGGCTAAAGGGGACTTAAAAAGACACAGGGGCAAGTGTGGAGGCAAAGAACCGACAAAGATGGCATGAGAAAGGCGGGGTAGTGGGGTAGGAGAAGTGGGGCAGATGGGAGGGTTCTACCCCCAACTCCATCCCTGGGTTCTTCAGCCCTCAAGGCTGACAAACTGGAAGTGACAGGGTGAGTCCCTCCCTCTCCTGTCGCCCCTGGGGTCTCTGGGAAATGCCCTCAGTGGCCCAGTTGGTGCAAGGGCTATGGTCAATGGGCCTGATGGAACCAAGTGGGGGATAGGGGCACCCCCAACCTCGAGCCTGGGCCCTGCCCCCTCCCACCAGCCAGCCTCCCTCTTCCCGCTTCCCCATGCCTGTCTTTTCCCTTTGATCTTCTTATCGTGGCCAGCCTCTCTGGTGGGTTCATTTGGGAGCTGCCTGAGTTAATGAGTTCTCCGGGCGGCAAGGCCCACACGCCTTCCCGCTGGGGTAAGGCCTTCACACTTCTGGGGCCTGTGTTTTGACAAGTGCCGGAGCCACTGGCTCCTGCTCCCCTGGCCAGAGCCTACCCTCGCCTGCTAACGTGTAAGGCTGGGAAATGAGGCCGTGGGGCAGCCCCACCAAAGCAGAGGTGAGAGTTCAGGCCTTGGCTGGGGTGGGGGCAGGCAGGACAGGAGGGCACCTTCTTAGGTTCAGGCCCAGAGCTCAGCCTTCCTGCTAGGCCCAGCTGGCTTCCTTGGGCCCAGCCTGGCCCTCACTTCCCGGCCAGCCCCTCTGACAGAGGAGTGCTAATCAGAGGTGCTATGTAAATACTCCCCTTGCAGCCCCTAATCCCAGACCCCGCTGGAGCCAGAGGCCCCAGGAAAAGGAAGCAGCTCTTCTCCTACTGCCAGCCTGCTCAGCATCAGCAGGCGCATCTCCTGGGAAGCTCCTAATTTGGGTGTCCCCTGAAGCCAGGAACCTTCCCGCCACACTTCTGCACCAGCCTGTGAGGCAAGCCCTTTCAGGGAAGGGGTGATTATTCATGAGGCCTCCACCTTTAGACAGCCTCCGACACCCCTCTGGATCTGGCCACTGTGGGTTAGAGTCCTTGTCTTGCCACGTCCTACCTGTGCCACTTGGGCAGCTCACTCTCCATCTCTGGGCACCGGCTGCTGCTTCTGTCCCATGGGGCGAGTAACACCTTCTGTGCCGAGGCTGTGAGGACTGAACTGCACAGAATGTGTGTACACTAGTGTCCCTCGAGGCCTGGCACTGTGCTGCAGCTTGGCTGGGTCACTGCTCACACTCACAACACACTGTGACGTGGGTGTCATTGCCCCACTTTGTGGATGAGGAAACAGAGAGGCAGAGAGGTTGTCCCATGTCGCACAGCTAGTAGGGGCACAGCTGGGTCCATCTGGCTCTGTCGGGGGCCAAAGCCTATGTTCTGCCCTCCCCACATCTCCCCTGTATCCTTTGGAAGATGTGGGTGGCTCCTTCCATCCTGGAGGGATGTCCTGAGAGTGAAGGGCCCTGGGAACCCTCAAGCCCCATTAAGCCCTGCTACGTATCAGAGAGACCTGTGGAGATGAGAAAAGAACAGTCTTTCAATGCCCTATGGTGAACACCACCCACAATCCAGAGTGGAAAAGGCACTGGGGAGTACCCAGCCGCCCACCGTGGATCCTAGGCCCCCCTGGGTCTTGATAGATGAGGATGGGGGCTGCACTTGGTCTGAAGCCCAGAGTAGTCAGAGCCCAGCGAAGGCTCCAGCTTCCCCCCAGCCCCCGCCTGTGCCTCCTTCCCCATCAGCCTCCCCACCAAGGGCTCTGAGGCTCTCAAGAGAGCTCCTTCAAGGAAGATCACCCCCTCTCCTCACACCTTCAGCTCTTGGAGCCACAGAGCTGGCAAGCCATATGGAATAGATTATTCTGGACCCATGATAATCTGATTATCTTGGCCATGGATCAGCTGGATGCTCAGCCAGTGGAAGTCACAGCAGCAGAGGGGTGGTGAGGAGGGAGGGGGTGGGAAGAAAGGAGAGAGATTTGGCAGATTCCCAGGAAGACTCAAGAGGAAGTGCCAGAATCTCCGTGGGTCTGGGAGCCCGACTGCTAATGCAGGGCAAGCAGATAGCACCTCTCTCCTGAGGTGTCACATTTATGCTCCTTTGCTTCACCAGCGGAAGAGGGGGTGGGTCTGAGCCTTAGAGTGAAAAGTGGGGAAACTGAGGCACGAAGGAATGAATGTGAGGAAACTTGTCACACAGTGCCTCAGTTTCTCCAACTGTAAAATTGAGTAGGGACTCTGCCTGCGTTGGTGGGAAGGCTCTGTCTCAGGCCAGAGGGTTGACCCCTGGCTTTATGGGGTCCTTGCATTCCCATCCACAGCCAGCAGAGGGC